TCGACTCAATAAGTAATTGGGTTCGAATTCGACTCGGCTCGTTAATATTAATAAAACTCGAATTTGACTCAGCTCGGTTTGATAAGATTTTTTTTAATATTATATATATATATATTTATTTATTATTTAATATATAAATAATATATTTATTATATAATTTAAATAAAAATAAACCAGTCGAGTTTATTCGAGCTTGAGCTTGAACTCGGCCTCGGCCTCGGCTCGTTCGTTTGGCAACTTGAAATTTTAGCTAAAAAATCAAAAAATCACTATAAATTGTCATATTATTCTCTCTATTTTTCTACCCATATTTTCATAAAAAGTCAAAAAATTACCAAAATAACTTGTTTTCAAACCAAGTCGTTCGAGCTTAAGCTCGGCTTGTTTATTAAACGAGTCAAGCCGAACCGAACCCATAATAATTTCTCATTTGTCAGAAGTAACACTTTGTGAGAACACAATGAAATGTTTGGTGTAGATTAAAAGCAAACTTTTTTTTTGACTTTTTGTCATTTTGTGTGTAAAAATGTGAGAGGTGACGTGATTCAATATTGGTTAAAAGCTAACTTTTATCTAGCTTCCAAAATTGTCCCTAAATCAGATTTTTATAACTTATTTTAATTTGAGAATCTGTATTAGACTGTTTTAGTGAAACTTCTGCTTACAGCATATTAAATCAGAACTAATTTAAATAAGTTAAAAAATTAATTATTTAAAAATTAAAGGAATGATACTTTTGACTTTTACTTTTTTTAATTACCAACTTTTAATTTATAATAAATTATACTAAATAAGTTAAATGCAAGCAATCACTCATGCCAATGCCATTCTAGAATTACCTAACAAAATTTTCTTCTAAAATAGATTTATTGTTAAAAACAATACACCAGATCAGTCACGATAATGAATTGATTTCTCCTTTTTGTATAGTACGAATATGACCAATTTACCCACCCAAAAAATAGGAACAATTTTCTTTTCCAACCAAACATATTCATTCAACATTCGCAAAGCGTTTGGCCTTTTTGAATGTCCGATTATCCTTTTTAAACTACTATACAAAATAAATAATAATAAAATATAAAAACGCCAACAAGAATAGTGTATAGGAGAAGTTGAAAAGAGCGCTGCACTAACTATACATGGATTGTATCTATAATTATTTGTATGATGAGATTTTAAATGCTGATTAGAGAATTTCGACTAAATCAATAAATGTAGACATGTAGAAAGACATGTGGATTGAAAAAATTTAATAAATGCTGATCAGAAGATTTTGACCAAATCAATAAATGCTGAGATTTTTTTTAAAATAAAAAATAAAAAATTTAGAAAATTCAGATTGAGATATTGAAACTCTCACAGGCCTTGAGGGTTAAAAACCCTCTTTTGCTTAATATATAGTACTAGCCTATCACCTGTGCTATGCATGGGATAATTATAGATATTTATATTTGTTTTAGATTTTTTTTAATATATAAATTATGTTTTTTAAGATTTTTTATAAAAATAATTTAACAATCTTATCACTAACCATAGTGTATGAGAAAAGTTAAAAAGGGTACTGCAGTAACTATACACAGATTGTATCTATAATTATTTGTTTGAGGGGATTTTAAATGCTGATGAGGGGATTTTGACCAAATCAATAAATTCAGGCATGTGGAAAGAAAAAAGTTAATAAATGCTGATCAGGGGATTTTGACCAAATCAATAAATGTTAAATTTTTTTTTAATAAAAAATTTAGAAATTTCAGATTGGGATATTGAAACTCCCATAGTCTTTGATAATAATCATATGTGTCGGACTTTTCAATAATTTTTTTTATGCTTGTTCTTAATATATTAAAGTGTTATTATGAGAGATAATAATCATATGTGTTGAGACTTTTCAAGGAATTCATATGTGTTGGATTTCAAAGAATTTTTTTTATACTTGTTCTTAATGTATTAAAGTGTTATTATGAGGGTAAGACTTGAGAGTTGGGAGAAGTTAATAAATGCTAATATTTTTTTTTATAAAAAAATCAAAAAATCAAGAAATTTAGATTGGGAGATTAGAACTCACACAAGGGCTGGGGTTAAAAACTCTTTTTTGCTTAATATATAGTATAAAAGTATAGATGGATAGATGTGTTGGACTTTTTAAGGAATTTTTTTTATGCTTGTTCTTAATGCATTAAAGTGTTATTATTTGGGTAAGACTTGAGAGTTGGGAGAAGTTAATAAATGCTAAGATTTTTTTTTTTTAAAATAAAAAAATCAAGAAATTTAGATTGGGAGATTAGAGCTCCCACAAGGCTTGAGGTTAAAAACCCCATTTTGTTTAATATATGGTATAGAAGTATAGATAGATAGATGTGTTGGACTTTTTAAGAATTTTTTTTTAGGCTTGTTCTTAATGCATTGAAGTATTATTATGAAGGTAAGGCTTGGGGGTTGGAAGAAGTTAACAAATGCTAAGTTTTTTTTTTTTTAAATCAATAAATTTAGATTGGGATATTGAAACTCCCACGAGGCTTGGGGGTTAGAAACCTCTTTTTCTTTAATATATACTAGCATATCACCTGTGCTATGCAAGGTTTGTGTTTATAATTATCTATATATGTGAATTGCGATTTTTAAATGTCTTTTTATTTTTTATTTTAAAAATGCCTTCTTTTTTTTTTCTATTTTTTATATTATATTAAAGTTTAATATTTTGATAATAATCATATGTGTTCAACTTTTTAAGGAATTAAATATTTTTTTTATTATATTATATTAAAGTTTAATATTTTGATAATAATCATATGTGTTGCACTTTTCAAATTTTTTTTTTATACTTGTTCTTAATGCATTAAAGTGTTATTATGAGGTATAATAATCATATGTGTTAGGACTTTTCAAGGAATTCGTATGTGTTGGATTTTAAAGAATTTTTTTCATGCCTGTTCTTAATGCATTAAAGTGTTATTATGAGGGTAAGAAAAAATTAATAAATGTTGATCAGAAGATTTTGACCAAATCAATAAATGTGAGTTTTTTTTTTAAAATAAAAAATAAAAAATTTAGAAAATTCAGATTGAGATATTGAAGCTCTCACAGGTCTTGGGGGTTAAAAACTCCTTTTTGTTTAATATATAGTATAGATAATATATAATATAATATATATATATACATATATAGATTATAAGATGAGAGAAATAAAGTCCTATCTTATTATAATGGATGAGATCATATAAAAAAAACGTGTAGACATGAATACCCTCCTATTTTATTGTGTTTACAATTATCTATATATGTAATTTGTGATTTTTAATTTTTTTTTAAATGTCATCTTTTTTTTCTTTTTTATATTATATTAAAGTTTAATATTTTGATAATAATCATATGTGTTGGACTTTTCAAGGAATTAAATGTCTTTTTTTATTATATTATATTAAAATTTAATATTTTGATAATAATCATATATTTTGGATTTTTCAAGAATTTTTTTTATGTTTGTTCTTAATGCATTAAAGTGTTATTATGAGGGATAATAATCGTGTTGAGACTTTTCAAGGAATTCATATGTGTTGGATTCAAAGAATTTTTTTTATACTTGTTCTTAATGCATTAAAGTGTTATTATGAGAGTAAGATTTGAGAGTTAGGAGATGTTAATAAATGCTAAGATTTTTTTTTAAATCAAAAAATCAAAAAATTTAGATTGAGAAATTGAAGTTCCCACAAGGCTTGGGGTTAAAAACTCCCTTTTGCTTAATATATAAAATATAGATATAGATGTGAGAGGTGACGTAATTAAAAATTGGTTAAAAGCTAAAAGCTAACTTTTAGCTAGCTTCCCAAATTGTCCCTAAATAAGCTTTTTATAATTTATTTTAATTTGAGAATATGTATTAGACTGTTTTAGTAAAACTTCTACTTACAACATATTAAATCAGAAATAATTTAAATAAGTTGAAAAATTAATTATTTAAAAATTAAAGGAATGATACTTTTGACTTTTTTTTTTAATTACCAACTTTTAAATCATAATAAATTATACTAATGCTGTATTTGGTAGGGGGATTTGATGAGAGATTTGGAAAGGAAAATGGAAAAGGTATGTAAAATATGAATAAAACATGCCTAAATTTTACCTAGTTTCACACACCTTTGCCCTTTCCTTTTCCAAATCCCTCACTAAATCCTCCAACCAAACACAACATAAATAAGTTAAATGCAAGCAATTACTCATGCTATTCTAGAATTACCTAACAAAATTTTCTTTTAAAATAGATTTATTGGGTGTGTTTGGTTAGTGTTTGTAGAGTAGTTTTTGTGATAAAAAGTACGAAAATTTGTTTGGTTTGTCTTTTTTCAGAAATGATTTTAAAAAATTGTTTTGGGGAGAGAATTTTAAAAAAAATGATTGATTTGATGTGTATGAGAGAGTAATTTTGGAAAGTAGGTAACCAAACAAAATTTTGAATTTTTTTTGAAAAAATTTGTTTGGTTTGATTACTCTTAAAAATTTATTTGGTTTGATTACTCTTAAAAATTTATTTGTAGAGAATTTTTTCAAAAATTTTTCTGAAAAACAAACCAAACAAAGGCATTGTTAAAAAAACTACACCAGATCAGTCACGATAACGAATTGATTTCTCCGAGTTGATTTCTCCTTTTTGTATGGTAGGAATAGGAACAATTTTCATTCTACATTCGCAAAGCATTTGGCCTTTTTGAATGTCCGATTATCCTTTTTAAACTACTGTAAAAAATAAATAATAATAAAAATATAAAAACGCCAACAAGAGGTGTGATTAAAAAAAAAAATTATATTAGTTGGCTTAGGTAGGTTCATATTTTAGGTTAATAACAATTTTTATTTTTTTATTTTCTATTTTTTATCTTAATCATCTAACACGTAAAATTCACCAATCAGAGTGCTACATCTGAGCGACATGTGGCGCGCACCCTTGAACAACCAATAACTTGTCCAAAGAAAGGCACACCCTTTTCTCGCAAACTTCATCCACACATATCACATTCATGAGAGAGAGAGAGAAGGGGGTGAGAAAGAGGAAAAAGGGATTAAACTATTAGGGCAAAAGGCAGTTGGGACTTGGAAGAGAGTTTGTGTAAAAAGCAGAAGAGCAGAGTGATAATACTAGTAAGTGAGATGACAGCAACATCCTCTTTGAGGCTGCTGTGGTTGCCTCTTCCCTTTGCTTCCTGCCTTTCAGATTCCTCCAATCTTTTCCACACTGCTAACCCTAGTCCCTTCTCCAACAAATCTTCTTTCCCTTCTTCTTCTTCTGCTACATCCTCATCCTCATCATCATCTTACTCTCACAGACGATGGGTTGGTCGAAGTAGATTCTTCCACAGCCTATCCAATCTCTCTTCAACAAGACAGACGGTATGCCTCTCTCTCTCTGACTAGCATGTATGTATATTTGTGAGCCTATAAATGGTCATCTCTCTTTTGTGCTACTGAGACTTTGGTCTTATATGTTTGAGTGTTTAAGGTACATACTCTTTTCAGAATTGAGCTGGGTTTCTTATGTGTTTTGCAGTGGAAGATTTATTACTTGTTTTTAATTTGTGATGAAGTATTGGAATGTGGGTTTCTTCTGTTTGTTTGTTTGTTTGTTTGGTGCAAGGAGACATAGCCCATTTGATTTTTTTTTTTTTTTAATTATTTTTTTTGTTGTTTTTGTTAGTTTTGAAATTTTATTTATAATTTAGGAGCTTATTTCTAATTTAAGTTAGGATTCTACAAATTTTGATTTTTTGATGTAAAAGAAAAAGTCATACATAAATTGGATGATTAAGACAGCTTATGTGCTGATTTTATGTTACTAAAATTGTTTTTAGATTCTTACACTTTTTTTTCGGATTTCGATCCTCTCGAAACGGAGAGCTCCATTTCTTAATCAATGACAGATCCACATCAACAAATCTGTATTTTAAATTAAAAAATGAATAGGCCTTTTAAAACTTATAATGCCATGGTAGTTGTAGACCTTCGATTTTAAATTGTGTTGATGTGTTTACAACTCTTTCTCTCTCTCTCTCTCTCGCCATAACTCCTTTTCTCTAAAATTTAAACCGAGAGGGAGAGAGAGAGAGAGTTGATTTGCTAGTTTTTTTACAGTAAAGATGTTATGGCAAGCATATTTATTAGCAAATGCCATAACTCAATTGTGCATAAGATGTGTGGGGAATGGCCTTTAAACAAAATGAATCCCTATGTGGTTGCCAATATTTGCAATATTATCCTATACTAGCATTTGTTGGTGAGTCAGACCTGCATTAAACATTTAATTGCTAGATCCTTCTTTGGACATGTAATAACTTCATTGATTAAATGTATCCTAATTTGGTAGTAGATGTATGATTAGTTATAAGTCCCTTTATCCCTGATTTTCTTGTAAGGCCATCACTACAGTAAATGTTAATAGTAGGATTGCCCTCATTACATGTGGGGTGTTCTTTAAGGCCTAGAGGGTGGAGTGGGGTGGTTTTTTATTGTTTAGCAAAATTTTGATGTGATAATTGTCATAATGGAAAAAAGAGCCACTCCCCTACGTGGACTTGACTGTGAGCGTTGGGGGTGTTGGACCTCCCTAAACCCCAAGTTTTGGGATATTGGGATAAGTATCATAAGTTGTACTGGTTCTTAGACATATCATGCACATTTAAATATATTGTTTAAATAAAGCCGTTCCCTATAAGGACTTAAGTATGTTGTAAGAATGGAAAATCCGTGGATAATTTATTTCTACATTGCCCAATTGTTTTGAATTTATGGCACAGATTGTTTCTTTTGGGAAACGTCTATGAAGTATGGACACCTCTCCGAGGGCTCCGTACCAGTGTCAGACACGTGTCGGACACGGACACGTGTCGGACACGCGGTGGACACGTGTCCGACACGCAGCAGAGAGTGTCCCATTTTTTTTTTAATTTTTTTACATCCGGACACATTCAGGACACGTTATAGACACGTTTGGGACACGTTCGGGGGGCTATTTCAGAATTTACTAAATTTTCTTGGGGTCGATTTGTAAATAAACAAAAACAGATCAAAATATGCCCTAATCTACTTCGAGTCTACTTCGAATAGAAGAGAAATGGTAGAGAAAGGGTGAGAAAGAGAGGACCTGACTTCGTCGATCGTCGTTCGTCTTCTGTCCTCGTCGATCGTCGCTCCTCGTCGGTCGTCTCTCGTCGGTCGTCTCTTGTCGGTTGTCTCTCGCCCTTCGTTGTTAAGGTACGCCTCTTCTTCTTCGTCTCTCTTCGATCTGCGATCGTCTCTCACCCTTCTCTCTCTTTCTCTCTCTCTCTCTCTCTCAGCCTCTTCATGCCTCAGTCGATCTTCCTTCTGATTTTATTTTTTTCTTTTATTTTATTTTTCCCTCTGATCTTCCTTCCGATTTCCCTCAGTCGCTTTCTCTCTCTCTCTCCCTCTCTCTTTCTTTTATTTTAATTGGGTGTATTTTTTATTTTTATTTTTTTTTCTTTTATTCTGATTTCAATTTAATTTTTTCTTCTTCTTTTTTTTTTTTTTTTTATTCTGATTTTTTTTTATTTTTCTTTTTTTTGAGTGTATAATTTTAATAATGTAAAATGTATCCTAATTTGGTAGTAGATGTATGATTAGTTATAAGTCCCTTTAGCCCTGATTTTCTTGTAAGGCCATCACTACAGTAAATGTTAATAGTAGGATTGCCCTCATTACACGTGGGGTGTTCTTTAAGTCCTAGAGGGTGGAGTGGGATGGTTTTTTATTGTTTAGCAAAATTTTGATGTGATAATTGTCATAATGGAAAAAAGAGCCACTCCCCTACGTGGACTTTATTGTGAGTGTTGGGGGTGTTGGACCTCCCTAAACCCCAAGTTTTGGGATATTGGGATAAGTATCATAAGTTGTACTGGTTCTTAGACATATCATGCACATTGAAATATATTGTTTAAATAAAGCCATTCCCTATAAGGACTCAAGTATGTTGTAAGAATGGAAAATCCGTGGATCATTTATTTCTACATTGCCCAATTGTTTTGAATTTATGGCACAGATTGTTTCTTTTGGGAAACATCGTGTGGGTGGCACCAAAAGGGAGAGCGCATATGCTCCTTGTTGATTTTTGAGCATTCGGCGGATCAAAGAAATCCAAAGTGTTTTGGTCTTGCGTTGTCTTTGCAACTTTTTGGGTTCTATGGTTGGAAAGAAATGTGAGATTGTTTGAAGATAAGTTTCGGGAAGTGGATTGCTTGTGGGATAAAGTTTTGCTCCTTAACTTTCTTTTGGGTGTCGGGGAATTCTCTCTTTAAAGTTTGCTCCCCGGTTCCCTTTTTTTGATTTATCAATAAAGTCTTTTGTTGTTGATTAGAAAAATGAATAAATAAATAAATAAGGTCTTGACTATGAGCCTTGTTTGCTGGTGTTGGACCTGCCTGAACCCCAAGCTTTGGGATTTGTATCATATGTTGTAGAGGTTCTTAGAAGACTTGGCTATGAGCATTGGTTGCGGGTAGTGGGTCGTGTTGGGAACTGGACATATGTTGGTGTTAATGTAGGGGAACTGCGAACTCATGTCTATTTTGATAGCTGCAATTGAAGATGAGTCGAAGGGTTCCATTGATAGAAAGCTCACTCAATCACAAAATGCAAGGGTTCTTTAACAACCTGCATCATAGCCCCTCACAAACCAGGTTTGTTGTGATCTAGTTGCATCCAAGTGTTGTTATCATTAGCCACAGAACATGGTTGCTTTATGGAATTAGGTGGCTAGTCGCTGGTAGGGAGAAGGGGAGGCAATATATGATGTGGGAGTCTGATAAGGTGACTGGTGGGTTGAGGAAGATAATGGTAAGGTCTAAGTAGCATAGACACAGACATAGACACGTAACACTACATTGTCATGTTGACACATTAAATGCAAAAAATATAGGACACGACATGTTTGGGACACATTAAAATTTTACATTTTTATAAATTTATGATATGTGAAATATATAAATAGTTTATTCTAATGTAATGAAAAAAAAAAAGTAGCACTAATTGAAAATTAAAAGACGTATATTCCATAACTTGAACATTAAAATATCGTTCACATAACAATTACAAACTAAAGAATGCAAAATAGTAGTAGAATATATAAATATACATGATGTATTCATCTTTATGTGTGTTTCAAAATATATTAAGAGTAAATAAGTTGCATTTCAAAGAATATAGAACTTTGTTACTATGAAGAGATTCATTACATTGGTCATGTTAAGATGATTCAAAAAGTGTCTGTGAAGTGTCTACAAAGTGTCTAATATTACGAATTTATATATTTAATTAAGACACGTGAAAGAGGTGTCAACCACGCTTTTTAAGAGTGTCCAATCTAACATGCCTACCCTAAAGAATTGTCCGTGCTTCTTAGGGTAGGGTTACAAGTGAAGGGTAAAATGGTGAACTAATATTTTTCGTTAATGGCGTCCATGAAATATATAATTTTTATACTTGAAGGAGCTACAAGTCAACTTTTATTTTATTTTATTTTATTTTATTTTTTTTTTGGGGGGGGGATAAGAAACTCATTAACACGTAGCTAAGGGGGGTTTACTAAATTGATTTTAAGGGAAATATCATTTCAATGGGTAATAGGGCAAAGATTTGGAAATGGGTGGGCATCTTTTTGAGGTCAACTTTGCCTTTTGAGGTCAAATTTGCATATATATATATATATATATCTAAAACCCTGTGATACCTTAACCATTCATGACACAACGATACATTAATCTATACGACTTTGTATCGTGTGATACATGTCCTTGATCAATACAGTAAATGATTCGTATCTATTTGTAACTGATATGTATCACATATCGTACAATTCTAACAACAATGAAAAGGCCCTAAAGGACTGTAAGAAAATAAAATGCATTAGAAAACACAAAGTTGTACGTGATTATGACTGAATTTAAGTGTCCAGTTTTGCGTTTGTTGTTATATTATATAGATTTGTAACTATATGTATCACATATCATTCAATTCTAACAACAATGAAAAGGCCCTAAAGGACTGTAAGAAAATAAAATGAAATAGAAAACACAAAGTTGGATGTGATTATGACTGAATTTAATTTAAGTTTCCAGTTTTGCACTTATTTGTCATATTATATTTTGCTCTTAAGAATTTTATCTCAAATATTTTGGCATTATTGTACTTGATTATGATTGAATTTAGGTGTACTGTTTTGCATTTGTTGTCATATTATATTTATTAGCTCTTAAGAATTTTATCTTAAATATTTGGGCATTATTGTACTTGTTATTTTATCTCTTTTGAAATGTATACATTGAATCGTAGGAGCATTGCTACTAGCACAAATGTTCTGTACTTGTGTATTTAATTTTTATTTATTTTTATTTTTCAAATTTTAGTTCTTTCACATGTTATTGATTTTGTTGGATACATTGAATTGTAGGAGCATTGCTATATGTTCTCTCTCCCCCCCCCCCCCCCCAATTTTAGTTATTTCACATGTTGCTGCTTTTTGTTGCATATTATGCATTAGGCAATTGGAATAAAATCTTCTCTTAATTATGTTGTCATAAACAAACTTTTTTTGAATGTGGTGAATATGTTATCTTTGGACAAAAATGCCAGTGTCACGGAGTTCGTTCTGTTTATTCGAAATCTAGGCTGTAGTTTATTTCTCTCTGCAGATCTGAAGGGATATTGAATTTTGATGCATTCAGATGTTGTAGCCTGAGTTTAGATATCTTATTTTAAAGATTACTGTATAGAAATTAAGTTTTGCCCTTGTCTTGGATTTGATGCACTTGTAACAAGGTATTGTCAAATGGAAGAACCAGAATAATTTTGTATTCTATGAATGTGATTGGTTTAATGGGTTATGACAGTTTTTCAAAATGTAAAACTCAAATAACAACAATCATAGTTTCCGAAGACTTTATATTATCCATGCTATCATAATGAGCGAGGGGGCATTATTTTCTCTCATGGGCTCTTTATAAATCACAGGAAATTACTAAATGTCATTGTTGTAATTTGTACCCGCTCTCTCTATCACGACAACCCTACATTCCTTGCTGATGATAATCCCACATCTATTTGATTATATATGAATAAAATTCTTAGAGGACATAGGAAATTGCAAAAATGATGTTTTAAAGAGACCATTATTCAAATGCTAAACTAGAGGTGACGCTGCTCTCCTTTATTTTCTCTTCAAAAGTTTGCCTGCGGTAATTGCCTTCATGATTGTAATTGCCTTCGAGGTTTTAGACTACCCTATTGCACAGCTCTTACTTCCTTTCATCATTGAAGGTTAAATTAATAGCGGAACAAATGAAAAAAGCCACTTTAAATTCACTACATTCCAAAATGACCTTTTTCAAGACACAAATCCTGCCTGCTTAGACCATGGCAGTTTTTATGTGTTTCCTATTGTTGTGAAATTGAACTCGTCTTTATGTTCATTTTTGCGCGGTTGGTTTTCACTAATGATTTACTAGCAGGGGCCTCTGTTTTTATGTGCTGGTATAGTGGCTTTCTGGATGTTCCAAACGAGATCAAAACATTGGTAGTGGGAGGAATGAAGATGAAATTGCCTTGCAGATGTTTGGTTCTGATGAGGAAGTCACCACTCAGATTCCAACCCAAGCACAATCTGTTGTAAAAGGATCAGGGGAAGTTCTGGTATCAGAATATAAACCTGTCCCTGATGTAGATTATCTGCAGGTTTGTTATCTTCTTGAACCACAATTTTTGAATTTGCAATGAGCCTTTCCCAAGAGTTTTTTTCAATCCCTGGCATCATGGTTAAGAGACCAAACAGGTAGCACTTTGTCTATACGAGGCCAATGGGATGATTTTTACTTTATTAACTTTTTACAGAGCCATCTATTTTTTTATGAATGTTTAGAGAGTTTTCAGAAGCATATGACAATACCATATGCAAGTTTATTTGTGGAAGGTATTGTAGATCAAAATCTATGCTATGTTAGGCTGTGGTGCTTCTGGTAGATTTTAAGCTCAGGCTGAGCTGCAACTTGCAAGCAGTCTTTTAACACTATTTATGCTGATTAAAATGGACATCAGCATTTGGTTTCTACTACTGGGTATAGATTTTCACTTTTGGTAGTTATTTGGAAAAATCTGAGTTCAATTTTATTATTTTACTCAGACTCTTGAAAGATTTGCTTAGAGTCGCCACCTAACATAGAGTTTGGGTGTGTTAGGCCACCTGAAAAATAGATTTTTAATGAGCCAGTACTTTTATATTTTCTGTTTACCAATGTGTTTTATTTTAACGACTCTTATAATGGTCTGCATGGATTGTAGGCATGTGCTTGTATATAAATCAATATTTTTTCCCCTTTTTGGTAGGAGTTACTAGCAATTCAACAACAAGGGCCAAGAGCTATTGGTTTTTTTGGGACACGGAATATGGGATTTATGCATCAAGAACTTATCGAGATTCTTAGCTATGCGATGGTTATAACGGTATAATGCCTCAACTTCTGTTTTTTGCAAGGAACAGTTGGTTCCTATTGTGCAGAATGAGACAGGACATTTAGTCGGTGCTGGGTCTCTCCTTTGCATGTCAATGTCACATTGTGTGCTGTAGATTGTGATTTTCCTAAAATTTCTCCTCTTTTCTCTTTGGTTACAGAAAAATCACATTTTTACATCTGGTGCATCGGGGACTAATGCAGCTGTTATTAGAGGTGCTTTAAGAGCAGAGAAACCAGAGCTACTTACTGTGATATTGCCTCAAAGTTTGAAAAAGCAACCTCCTGAGAGCCAGGAATTGCTTTCGAAAGTAAGAATCTGGTTATATTGTTCTTTTGCGTCGTACTCCTTGTAATGGGATTTGGAAATTTATACATTGTCATTTTGCCACTATTTTCTCATCAATCTTTTATTGTTAAAGTTATTAACGGGGAGTTCGGTAACATTTACAATTTATTGTTTTTTTTATTTACCGATAACAAAAACAAAACCCTGTTTGGTGAACACATGTTTTCAAAAACTTGTTTTGAAAACAAGTGAGGGGAGTGGCCGGAGGGGATTGCTGGCGGGAGGTGATGGGGGTTGGAGGTGGGAGTGTTCAGAGGTGGTGGAGGGAGGAGGGAATGATTTTTTTTTAAAATGAAACAAGGTACAACACTTTTTTGTTTTTTTAAGCATTTGATAAATTTTGAAATCTGTTTTGTTTTTTTGTGGAAATGAAAACAGACAACAAACAAGTTTTTATTTTCAGTTAGGAACTTTTTTGTTTTTGTGTGTGAACATAAACTTTACTAAATGGGCCATAACTATTACATTTTGCTGTCTTCCATTTGACATTTTCAATCTGTAAGTACTATATTTGTCTTGCTCCAGATGTTTGTGTATTTCATGTTCTGTTTGTTATTATTACTATTATTTGGTTGTTGATTATGTATTCTGTTCATAAGAACTGCCTTTATGACCATTTTACAACCCCCCCCCCCCCAAAAAAAAAAAAAAAAAAAAAAAAAGAAAAGAACAGAAACAGAAATGGAGGGAAAGGGGGAGATGAGGAGAGACGGAGAAAGAGGTTCTTTGGAAAAGGGTTGTTTTATTGGAAATGTTTGTTTGTATTTTTCTCCTTGAATCCATACAGTTAAAAAAAAAAAGTTTTTCTATTGTTTACTTCAGTTTATATAAGAAGGTATAAATATCATTTTGTAATCAGTTTTATTAAGGAATACCTGGAAGATCAGGCATGAAGTATGGAATTTTTCTTGCTGAGGAAACTATTAACCTCTAATAAAATTCATCATATTCTAATGACAAAACTATTTGGGTTGAAAATGATTTTAACATCCAGCCAAAAGTTTATGCTCTTTAGAACAGAAGAATGAATATTGGATGGTTTAGTCAGTTTTGGTATTTTAAATTGGGCAGGGTCTACTGCATTTTGGAAATTGATGCTGAAGTTGGGATCTAAATTGTAGAGTATGGCTTCTAGTTCTTGCCAATCTATCCCTTTTCTGAACTTATTGTGTAGTCTTGGTATAGTGATTATTTTATGTAGCTATGTGATAATTTGTTTGACACATGATTATTATATGGTTATCATTTTCCACTTCACATGAACATTGACTATATGGTCAGTGAAGTGGTCAATGAAAAGGATTCTTTCAGCTGGATCACTGGTCATTTGGATGGTTTGGATGCTTGAGCATTTACCTTTCTTGTGGTTGTAGAAGGAGGCTTATTAACATATTCCTTAGATGAGGAATCCCTGTCAGCAGCGTGGACTGGCGGTGATAACAAGAATTGAAACCAATACTTGATAGTGTCTTGTGGAAATGTTCCTAATTCAGTTAGATTCTTTGATGTGTAATGATAAATCTGAAATATCTTTTGGGGTATGGTAATGTTAACTATTTCTTGGATTTGCAGGTGAAGAATGTAATAGAGAAGCCTCATAACGATCATCTACCTTTGATAGAAGCCAGCAGGTTAGTGAAAAAGGCTGCTAAAGAGTTTATCTCTCTCTCTCTCTCTCTCTCTCTCTCTCTCTCCAATTGCTTCCAAGATCTGGTGCATCTATTTTGCTTATATATTAACATCTACAGAAACTATCTCCATGTACATTGGCAGCTGCCAAGTTGTTCTTGATGGCACTAGAAATAGACTTTTCCCTATCAAAATATGTGCCCTTTGCATGAACATTTTTCTAGTTTGAAACTTTTAAGTTTCTGACTTCATACAGAGAGTGCATTTGATTTTGCTCCTCTTTTGTCTTTGATTTTAATTTGATTTTTCATTTTACAAATCAAAGCAAAAGATAATAATGACGTTGTGTGTTGGGATAGAGATCTTGGATATTTTAGTAGTTGTGAACTGTGATGTTATCAGAGTCCAACTCAGTTGTCCTATGAAGTATGGGTACTTCAAAAAACATTTTGTGCCCGTACGGGGTATTAGTACTTCTCATGATAATTTGTTTACGTATTGGGTACCCAAAACAGATACCCAATTTTTTCCCCCCCCTAATATATACCCAGGTCGTACCTTAGTTAGAATATATATATTTTATTTTATTTATACAAAGATGATGTTAGTTTAATTAAACTTATTTCTATGCTTAGCATGATTTTTAAAGTAAACTTTGGTTATATAATGATATTTTATTGTTTACACTAAAGGTGGTTTTGAGATTGGATCTTAACTATCTAAACCATTAACTAATTTTTGAATTACTCCAAATTAAAAATAAATATTTTTTACAAATGTTCCCAGCCATACCCATACCCTCTTATTTTATTTTATTTTATAATTTTATTGTATCAGTGTACCCTTAGTGTATCAGTGCTCATACATGTGCTTCATGGTTCTACATACATCAGCTGAGAAATTTAAACTGTTGATGAGCCAATTTCTGTGTAGACTGTTTTGTGTTTTTCATTTGAAATTGCCCATGCTCAGAACTGAGCTCAAGAATGATCTAACTAACCACAAGCTCTGGCTTTGCATGAGAAACCCCAGACCCTTGAAAAGCCAATCCAAAATCATATAATGGAGCAAATTGGACATGGCGAACCTACACCTTATGTTGTACCAGCTTTGTTGTCATGGCTACATTTGATCTTTTACTGGCTTTTACTGTTGTTTTGCTTGCTTCGTTGGCTGAGGGTAGGGATGTAAGAAAAACCGAAAAAATTGATCAAACCGACTATATTTGGTCTGTTTTTTAACAAGAATTGGTCTGTGGGGTTTTTAAATTTGATTTTTTCCAGTTTTCGGTTCGGTATCGGTTCAAACATCTTGTGCACTAAACTAAACCGAAACCGACCGCTTCAACATATATTGTATTTTTAATATATATATAATCTAATAATATAATGATATTAATAAGTATAATAAATTATTAATCTTAATTAATTAACCTTATCATTTTTATAACCTAAGTTATAACCTCTTATTATATATAATCTACTCATTATGGCTATATTTGGTCTGTTTTTTAACAAGAATTGGTCTGTGGGGTTTTTAAATTTGATTTTTTTCAGTTTTCGGTTCGGTATCGGTTCAAACATCTTGTGCACTAAACTAAACCGAAACTGACCGCTTCAACATATATTATATTTTTAATATATATATAATCTAATAATATAATGATATTAATAAGTATAATAAATTATTAACCTTAATTAATTAACCTTATCATTTTTATAACCTAAGTTATAACCTCTTATTATATATGATCTGCTCATTATTGAAACCTTAATATTTTTTAACTTTTTTTTGTTTTTCTTTTTGTTAATCTAGGAATTGAAAATTATTTATTAAATGGATATATTAGATATGTTTGAAATAGTAGACAAATAATTAATTTAATATTTTTATATAGATTAGTGATTATATTGAAAAATGTCTCAAATTTGAGAAGTCTTAGACCGATTAAATTGTACCGAACCGAACCAAACAGAATCGCTTCAATCGGTTTGGTTTGGCATGGTTTAATGGGAGAAATAGTCTACATTGGTGTTCAAAATAATAAAACCGACGTTATCGGTTCGGTAAAAGTTTTTACTTAAATACCGACTGTACCGAACTAATTACATCCCTAGCTGAGGGTAATAACTTCATTTGAGAGCTCTGTTGGGCTCAGTTTATGACCTTTGAGCCCCTCTCTTGTTTAGAGTACTAGAGAATCTATTTAGTAGCTACATTACATGTTCCAACACTACATAAATTGGGTGAACTTTGCACGTCACTTGCGACTTTTGTTATACATAAACTTGGAGACCACGCTATATATCGAGCTTGATTGATGTTATCTCTTCTACGGGGATGTTGATTTTTTGATTCACGATTGTTATTGTGAAAGTGCAGGCTATGTAATATGGACATCATTTCACATGTTCAGCAAGTCATTTGCTTCGCATTCCATGATAGCAAATTGCTTATGGATACATGTCAAGAAGCTAAGAATCTCAGAAAGATTGTAACGCTTTTCTATCTGGACTGATGAGGAGCACTGACTTCGTCCATTTGTCTATATCCATTGTTTGGGTAGAGCTTTTCTATTTTTTTTTTTTTGGCAAATTAGATGGAACAAAAACATGTATTCATGATCATTCTATGCAGATTGAAATATTGACTATAGAAGTTCAATTGGAGGTGTTCATCCAAGGAATGAGAGGGGAAGACTTTTATTTTTTATTTTATTTTTGTTGATACAGGTTCAATTTTAATAAAAATGATTAGTCAATAGAAGAAATGGATAATTATTAAAGAAATGCATCAAACACCTTTTTTAAAGGAAAATATTCTGTTTTGAGTATTATATTATCATTTTTGTTTTCATTTTGATTACAGAAGTTACCAGTGGGAAAAATAAATCAGTTTGGTTCATATTCTAGGTGTGTTATGCTTGAATGAATCTGGGCAATTCATTGATTTATGTGTGCATTTTGTGTATGTTTTTTTTGGTTTGTGCTCACATAGCATTGTTATTTTGGTTAAAGGGTAATTACAATGTTCCTTTTGTTTGGAACGGTTTATTTTGGTGAATAATTTTTTCTGTGGAAAAAAATTCAGATATATATATATTTTTAATGTATGGTTACTGGTGGATGTGGTGGGATGGTGAGCAAGGATGGAATTAGAATTTCATTATCAGAAGGATCAAAAGAAAAATAATTTTTAATAGGATGACTAAGTTTTTTTTTTATTTACTATTATTATGTAAAATAGAAAGAGAATTTAAAATGGAAGAAGAGTAATATGTATTTTTTTAATAATGGGAGATCATTTTATATATAAAATTTTATATTTTAAAAGTTTTATGACAAATAATAATATTCGCAAAAATTGAAAAAAAACAAGGGTTATGGCCTTTCATAATCTTTTTTTAATTTCGTTCCTGATGGTGAGGTTATGGGAGGTGGTGTGCTAGTGTGTCGATTGAGATGGTGAAGAGGGTGGTGGTGAGTTATAGAAGTGCAGTGGCGATGGTTATAGTAGTGGCGATGCATTAATGTGGTAGCACGGGTAAAATTGTCTTTTAAAATTAGAAAATATTTTGTTTCGGTTTTTTTTCCGTTTGACTTTCATTGCCGGTCATTGCAAATGTTAGAAAGTGCCAAAAAAAAGTGTTTTGTTGAAACAAACGGTTATTTTCCATGATAGTTGGTGTAGTTACTATGACCTCATTTGTATGAATTAGTAACGGCTCATTTGTATGAATTAGTGACGGCAATTTTTTTTTTAAGTACATAAAATTTGTATAAAAAAATGTTACAAGAATTATGTGGTCAAAAAAAATAAAAAATTACTACAGTTAAGAATCAATAGATCTAGAACCAAAACTCAAAAATCAAACCTAGATAAATTAATATTATAGCTACAACAAACACCCTGCATTTTTTCCATCACCATTCTTGAAGTTTCAAGATCAATCAGTTGTTGCGCACCACCAATGTCATGACCATCAACTTTCAAAAGCCAAAACTCCACCATTGATGAAGCTTGAAGGTCATTGACTCCATATGTCGTTTAACGGAATGGGGCGCTTTCCTATGGGTGTTCAGATTGTGAGGGTGACTTTGGCCGAGCAAGGATCCCAGTCTTTAAAAATTCTTATCTCCGGTCTCAAATCACTCACAATTATTGGATCATTTAAAAATTTCAAGATTTGACAGTCCCAAGACATATCCGATGATTGTAAGTGATTTAGAATATGGAGATAAAAATTTTTAAGGACGGAGGATCCTTGAGCACTTTGGCCGATGGGGTTTTTGGACTAGCTTTTAGGGTTATGACTGAGCTCTGATAGAATATAGAGAGAGAAGAGGGAGAGAAGAGAGAGAACAGTAAAGAGCTGGGAAAGAGAGAAAGTGAGAGAAGAATAGATAGAGACACTTGGAAGAAAGAGACAGTGATTGAGAGCTTTGAGGAAGACGTTTAGATGGAAGAGAAACATGTAAGACACTAGAGAAATCATAGCATGTGTGGGATACATAAAATGTGCAATTCGAAGGCTAATATAAACGTGACACATGGAAAGATAATATTTTTATAATATATTCAATCAGTTCGGTTTCAACGGATTTAAAATGAATAAAGATTAAGAATTAAAAACAAAAAAGTTCTAGGGAGAGTTTATGGTGTGTTTGTTTTGTTTTGTCATATCAATAGAGCTTTAAATCACTGTAGAATTCTGAATATCTAAACCAGCTGACCAAACTAATACCCAAAAAATATGTTTTTAACAAATTATTGCCGATTGTACTGTGCTTCGAAACTGTCCGCATGATTGCCGGATTGGGTGGTTCTGTTGGGTTCCAAAGTTTGATGAGCATCCCTAATGCAAATTGTAAATAAATTTATCTTTAATAGTATTTTGTTTTAAAGTGAAAAGTTTACAATGAGCTATATCATTATGTATGAAAATTAAATATGAATTTTTAATTTGTACGGCAAAACTCTAGTTACATAGCCCTCCTTTGAATACATTTAATTCACTTTGTTAGAAGACAATTAATATTTTGACAATAGTATTATTTTACGCAATAAAATTGTATTTTGTTTTGTTCTTGTACAATTATTTTTAGTAACATTTTTAAATAAAAATGGATTAAATCAATTAAAAAAACTTATTGTCTCTCTTTCAATCCTTTGCCATTCTCTCTCCCCTTTTTACATCTTAACCATTGAGAATTCACCAATGTGTTACTTGCAACCTTTGCCCACCCACTTTTTGTGGTTATCAATATTAATTTCTCTAGTTGCAACCACATTCACAAAGTTCAAAATGCTACAATTAATCATTAAACTATCTCATTCTTTGTTTCGTTTATCACTGCAACAAAGACTTAATATTCTTAAATTGATGTGAGGAACATCCTCTAACTAAGACTTGGTCATATAAATATAAAGAATAATTGAAGACAAAGGTAAGTTAGTTTGTGCTTCGCAAAACAGAAACAAGTTCCAACATTAAAAGAATCGAATCTTTCCTCTATTACACTTTTATCTTTGGTCAAGAAGGTGGACTTCATTCATAGTCCAAATATCGATTGTTGATTGTTGATTGTTGATTGTTGCTTTTGTTAGTTTAATGCTTTGGTTGTTGTGTTCCTTACTTCAATGAAGTTCTTCAGTTTTCCAAAGAAAAAAGAAAAAAAAAAGGCCATGGCCAACTGATAGGGTCACAAAATATTTAGTCGGGAAAAGGCTTCGGCGACTAAAATCCTTACTTTTGGCGACTAAAACTTTAGTCGCCAAAAATGCATTTTCTTGTAGTGTGTGGCTAACAACATTGGATAAGAAACTCATTAACAATAGCCCAGTGAGTGGCCAGCAAAAGTATTAGGCCTTCTTGGTGGTGCTGATTTGGTGGCTTGGAGTATGAAGGAAGGGGAGAGAGACGTAAAGTAAGAAGATCCATTTAGAGTTTCATTACTAGAGAGAGGTCAACCTAATATTCTCAAATTAGTGGAATTAATTGTATTTAGTCTAATGAATATGAAAGGTCAATGTAATTTATTCTGTAATTAATGCTTAAAATTTATAAATGGAAAGATTGATAAACCATAAAAAAAAAAAAATTCAAAATCAAAAAACGGGTGATGATTGAGACCCCCTTCAATCACCACCCCCCCACAGACACGTGGCGGGTGGTGATTGGAGGAGAAGGAATAAAAAAAAGAAAGAAAGAAAAAGTAGCCAACCAGGTGAAGAGGGGGTCAAGGGGGCAGGAAAAAAAAGGGGTCCAAGTCATTATTGGTGAAGCATATAAATGGATAGAATGATAAATAATTAGTTAAATGCTCTCAATATTTTTGCAATTCCAATTTAGTTGTAACACAAATTTGTTTATGCTGGCACAACAAAGATTTTAGGATAAATACACTTGACTTTCTCTAAAGGTTTAAAACAAACATAACAAACCCTTCTAGTTTAAAGTAATTATATACACTTCAAATCCAGTGACAATGGATTAAACAAAACTAGCGAAGGATGTCAAATTATTTTTTTACCCCTTTATGTATTAGTATCAAATTACTTTATTAGTAATATATATATATATATACATTCTTCCTCTCTTGTTTTCCTTACTACTCTTTCTCCCTCTAACTAAATCCACTAGCGTAACTCCTTTTTATTTACCTCTAGCCACATTTCATCTTCGATCACCACCTACCAACACTACCTACTCTCTTATTTCTTCTCTCATGATTGAACCCTAACTCTCCACAACCACCCCTCTTCAATACCTTCAATTCCTTTAAATACATGTTATCTAATGCTCATTTGCAACTAATTTGGGTTGGCTTTTTATAATAATTAGATATGACAAATGCATATTTTCGTGATGATTTGGAAGAGGAAGGTATGTTGATTGTAGAAGACATGAGTTAAAACATTATCCTAGAGTTTGCTTTGACAGATTTCTCATGACTATGTTGAAGTTTGGATACATGCAAAGTCATCGGGAATGTGTTTGTCCCAATCACCACAAGTTTGAAAAACCATCTCTTCAAGTTAAAAGTTAGGAACTTGGTTAGGTGAAGGACTGCATTCCATTTTTAGATAAGGAGCCTTGTCTTTTAGCTTAACTTGAGCATTTAAAAGATAAGATTCTAGAAAGTAAAAGTGTTGGAAATGAGATAATCCGTTTAGGATGAAGAAATGATCAGTTTGTATATATATATATATAATACTATTTTGAAAGCCCATTGATGACGAAGCTAAATGGATTTGTGACGCTTCAAGAATGAGTGGGCAGTTAAGGAAGAAGAATGAGTGGCCAGACCTAGAGAGTTACGACATGGCAGCCTCCCAGCTTGGTATTTTGGACCCCTTTTTGTATTTCCAATGTATCTCTCTCTTCCCTCACTTCTTTCTCTCTCTCTCTCCATTCTCTCTACACACACTCTCTCTACCATAACCACAATCTTCAACCTTTAGATTTGATGTCATAGAGTTTGATTCGATCAAAAGGTAATAATGTTGTAGAGAAGACGAGGGCTTCACATCCACTGAAGCTGATCTCCATTTCGCCACTTTTGGGTTTTTTTTCCTTCTCCTCTTCACTTTTGAGGTAGGGTTATATTTTATTTATTTGATATGGGTTTGTGCAAGTATATGTAGTATTTTTGATATACTTCATTGGTAGATTGTTAAAGAAAATTGTGAAAATGCATGTTAGATATTAGGGTTTGGAAATGATTGGGTATTTTTCTATAATTTTCTTGTCAAACCTATTTATTAATA